ACGCGATGTTCGAATATCAGAAGGGACATGAGTTCCTTCAAGGCGGTTGCAGATACGCCCTGCTGACTGTTGAGTGCCGATTAGCACGAAACCTAGGTTGAGCAATGCTTCCTGTCGCCGATTGCCTTCAACCATTTAATATCGTGAAATTTGTAATTGATTTCAGCCTAGCACGTTTGTCACACAAATACTGTTTATTTTGTCACCCTGTGTCTACTAATCTTATTATATTTTATAATTGTAAGAAGAATATTCTTCGTTCAGATTGACTTTTAACCTTTTGAACAATCTGATCCCTAGCACATTTATTTGCATGAATAAATTTTGAAACTTCATAAGTATAAAAAGAAAAAGCTGTGATTGGTTACAGGATTTCATCCTGGGCTGACATTGGTTTGGAGGACCATTGGAAAACCAGTAAGGAGTAATGGACAGCTGTTTCCTCCTAGTTTGGGGCTCTTCAGTGGTACTCACCCACCCAATGGTTCTCTAACCAATGTCAACTCATGATGAAATCCTGTGACCAATCAATAAAATCTCTACAAACCAATACTTGAAAAGCTGTGATTGTTTGAAAGAGGAAACTATCGTAAAGGCTTATGATGTAAATCCAGACAATATGCATGTATATATTTATATTTCTTGGGGTTCCGAGTGGAAAACGGGACTTCAGTTAGCACATTCTCATTATACTTGGTTCTCCAGCAGCACTTTTAACGAGCTTGTTGTATGGTTGACTGTAAGCTTTCCTTACCTCGTCAAACGGTCTCCTCTGTTTCCCCATTGGAAACCCAACTCAATATTTCTCATTTGGGTTCTAACCGAAGGGCCAGCTGGCAGTGATATAAGAATAGAACTTGTGCACTATGGTAGAGTATAATTTCATCATGAGTAAAATTTATTTTAAAACAACTAGTCCCCTTTATAAATTTGGATAGTGTTATTAGAAGACGGAGATTATCTGAAAAATGTGTGATGTATTTGCGCTATACATTTCGAACAATCTGATCACATATTTACTTGTCAAGTCGATATATATGAAAAGAATTAAGGGAATTAAATTAAACAAAGTGACAAAAAGAAGGATTTAAGAATGATTAACACAACGTTTGGTAATCCAATTGAATAAACGCAGGTGTCAGACAACCAACTTCGTTTGTAGCTAAACATCTAATCGAGAGGAAGCATAAGACTGATGTTAAAAGTGGTCAAGGGTGCTTACTGAAATACGCTGAGGCTATAGCTATTCATAAACTTAAGCCCCCCCCCCCTGTGTATTCAAAAACAGTTTATTATTACTCTTAACCTACCCTGGTAATCCTTATTTGATTGGATTATCAAACCTTGTGTTAATCTAAAACAGTTAGTTCCCTTTATGAATTTAGATAAAGCAATAAGAAGACGTAATTTGTCTGAATCGTGTAATGTATTTGCGCAACACATTTCGAACAATCTGATCACACACGGACTTGTCATAGGAAAATATATGAAATTAATAAAGAGGTGAGAAAATAGACTTAGGTCAAGTTAAAAGGACATATTCAAGGTCAAAATAACAATGAAGACCACTAAACCAAATAGCAGAGGTAATAGTACATCTGCTATGGTATCAAAACAAAATTTACCAAAGAAGGTTTAATGTGATGACGAATTGTTTTTGAACGCATAAAGGTGGCTTAAACTTTCTAATTGCTAGGGCTTCCACAAACTTTAGGATACGCCTCAAACACGTTTTATAGATAGGTTTAAAAGATCTGTTAACGTCAATTTTATGTCCTGTCTCTATAATATGTTTCGCAATAGAAGAGCTAGGTCTCCCGTTCTCACCGTTAATAGGTTCTGAAGATTCCATTTGTTTCTGGAGTCATTAAGGAATATGATCTGAAGCCCTTACTTGCAGAGATCGATGAGTCCTCCCTATGTATGTGTGTCCACACATACATTCAAATTGGTAAATACAGTGGGATTTGACGTCATTTTTCGCATGTTCGAAGGGCTTAGATAGACATATTGACTTTACATTCTCTATTATTATGATATTGGCTGCATAAAAAGTCTTTTTGACAGCAGCGTTCAGTCTTTGTCTAGGGTTTGAGCTTTTGGATAGCTAGTGCCTTGGCTATGCCCAGATGTCTTAATTTCACTCCCTTTGATAGGTTTTATCGAATCTTGTATATTATTTTGAAGGATTTTTCGAATGGCGCTGAATATCCTGAACTGACTAGATGTTCTGTCACTAAGCTATATACACGTTTTCAAGATAGCAATAGTGTAAATTATTATTACCCTTCTTACTATTAAATTTTTCACTATCTTGTTTATTTTAATTGACCTTTCATTTTTGATACAAACCCAATTTGGTAAGCAAATTTGTGCGTGATCAAATTGTGTTCGAAATATCCATTGGACAAATAAATCACAAGATTTTTAGGTTAAGGAATGCGTCGATTTGGAATCAAACCTTGGACCACTTTCGTGGTTAGTAGAAGGCTGGAAATGTTCCCCTAAGTGAACATTGAATCCTCCTCTCCATTCTTGTTGATGCTTCTGCATCATTATCAACGAGACAGTTAAGAAGTGGGCTCATTTCAACAGTTACGGAAACGTTCTGTCATGTAATAATGTATCAATAAACTCTGATTGTTGTTAGATTATTAACTATCTTCGATTCACGAGTTGATCATGGACTGATATCAGTTAGAGAACTATTGAAAAACAGCAGGGAGTACAGGACAGCCAGCTGTTTCATCCTAGCTTGGGAATCATCGGCTGTACTCACCCACTACTGGGACCTTCAGGTTATAAGGCAAGCTCTTACATCATTCAGCCACTTGGAACCAGTTCAACGACCAGCCCATGAATTCTAACTTCTACTGATTCGTGATCTATCGTGACGATCAATCAATGTCATCGATGGGATATCCATCCCCACACTTGACTGGATGGACCTCACTGTTCACGACTTCTCTGATATCAATCGAATCCAAGTGACTGCATACTGTTAATGATTTCTAAACCAGGATGAAACAGCTGTCCAGTACTCCCCCCAGCTGGTTTTAAATGGTTCTCTAACTGATATCAACCTGTGATCAACTCGTAAAAACAAATCTAATCCTTACAAACCAACTATTGAAAAATATCTTGTATTCATAGATCTTGTTCCACGGCGTTGTCTCTTGATTTGGAATAATTTCTGAAGTATACTTTTTGTAACTGATGTCGTTTTCAGGTGGTTAGAGGCTGATAGAAATCTATGAAATAGTAAGAATGAGATGTTCAGCCTTCAAATGTACATTGGTTCTTGCTTTGTTCAGTCGAATCAGGGGAATACTGAGTTGTGTGATTGAAAATGCTTGTTCTTATTTCTTATGTCTAGTGGTGAGATTTGTTCACATGTATGACAGTACTGTCGGAACTATCAGGAATAGAAAATATCATAGAATTTCATTTAAAACGGTTAGGATGGTCACCGACCATGCACATGGAGCGGGGCTCAATCCCCGGCCGACGCACACCTGATATCAAGGGTCGGCCCGCTTAATTAAGGCTACCGATATCACCTGCTGAAAATTCCATACTTGTACCAAAATACTGTGTAGAATCAAGCTATAATAAAATAAATAAATAAGTAAATAATTTGTTTAAACTTTGGTAAACAATTGTTTTTATATTTTTTATTGTTTAGATTAATTCTATTGTGAATCGAAATCAGTACTGTCAGTTGATAAAAATGACACTGAATTCTCCGTGTGTGTGTGTGTGTGTGTGTGTGTGTGTGAGCGTCCCCTCTCAAAATGTACCAACTTTGTCACCGTTTTTCTGTTACATTTCGAGCCATTGGACTAAAAAATGTGGTTGTACGATGGTTGCTATCAGATGGTGTAGGGTCATTGTAATTCATCACTGCCTACCATCGTGCTTAACCCTGGTAGAATGTCTCATAATACACAGTAGTTAACTATCTAATCTATATTGGCAATATTTGACTTGGATTGTATCACTGTTATTGATATTATACATTTTGTAAATATTCACATATGGATATGTGGGACTGTGGACCGTTGATTGATTTTATGTATATTTCACGAAGTGACCAGGCGGAGATTTTTCATGTACACTAGACTGTATGAGCCACATTTATTTTGTATGGAAGCGGAGAGGTTCGAAGTAGGAGAGTTGGGACTCGTAGCCTCTGGTTTCATTTGGCTCTGAAGGCTCACTACTTAATTCCAACGAGCTATATCTCTCTGCTAACGGGTTTTTGTACTTCACTGCCGATTATAGAGATCTTTGCACATTGCATTAACAAAGTTCTCCATAAAATACCAAAGGTGTAAAATTTGTATGTTGACTTGAGTACGGCTATATACTTAACAGCAGTTTGTTTCTTGTTTCTACCGACGGACGACTTCAGATACCTACAGGTTAGTAGCAAACAAGCTATTAGCGGAATCAACAGAAGTTAAGATCTGGGCAGCATCGTTACAACTGAAAAAACAAACAAACAATAGAGTTCTGAGTTCGATCATTGTTAAGGGTTCAGCGAATCTCTGACATCTGGTATTTAAACTTGGATGCTTCATCAATACTGAAACACAATTAATAATAATAATAATTTTTTTTTGCTTTTTTCCAAAAACAGTATTAATGATACAGCAAGGAATTTTCAGCATTCAGTACAGTATTGCATCTAATTTACTCAAAAACGACAACAACAAACAAAAAAAAGTAGATAAACGGAATAATTAATACATAATAATGATGACAAAACGTTTTTATAGGAGCTATGTAGCAATTACAGTAGAGGATAAGGAGAAAAATATAAAATTATAGTAATAATAGTAATAACAACTAAAATAAAAATAGCAAAGTTATAATTAAACGATAGAAAGGGTGACACCATAGAATTACAGAAAGATGAACAATGAAAGGGTCGATTCACTATGCTAATTACATAGTAACTTATATGTTTCACGTCTAACAGTGTCTTCATCACATAAAATACGGGCTAAGTACGGTATTGTAGAATTTTTTGTACTTAGTGGTACGAGCATATAATTTCTTATATTGACTTCTCGTTCTACCTGATGAGATACAAGGGGATAATTGTGAATAAAGAGGGTGCAGAGGGTCTGACAGTACGGCCTTTGCCCAATTTTTACAGGAATTTACGTGTCTCTCGACTATGGTATTGGCGAGATCACGCAGTGGCAAACCACAAGCCCTACTCACAGCATTTAATACCCTTCGTAAAACGGCATAGTCTTTTTTAAGAAGCCCAGGAAAGATTAATGGAGAACAATAAAGTAAAATGGGTAAAATACAGGAGTTTAAAAATCGCAGAACTAAAGGTTGGCTGATACCTTGTTGTCTTAACTTTTTAATGTAGAAGGTAAGACGAAACATTTTCTTAGAGACCAATAAAATGTGAGATGACCATGAAAGGTCCGAGGGAAAGAACTAATCCAAGGTATTTAATGCTTGATTTGGTTTCAATTTCTGTACATCTATGGCTACAGGCATCATGGGAACTAACTAGTTCATGTATGTCACGTCGATGGTTGAAGGTAAAGTTAACTGCCTGACATTTAGAAGGATTTAACATAAGACCATTTGACTTAGACCACATGCTGATGTCCAACAAAAAGCTATTAAGTTTGGAGCAGTCAGACTCAGAAGTGATAGGCAGTGATACAGTCAGATCATCAGGCATATTTGACAAAATTGGTTTCGTTTAAATGTGGCAGGTCATGTAAGAAAGAAAGAAAAAAGAAAGGGGAGAGAGGACGGCACCTTGAGGAACACCGGCTTTTGTAAGCAAAGCAGAAGAAGATTTGCCATTATATGCAGTATACTGCATTCTATCAGAAAAATAAGAATGCAACCAACTCTTAGCCCAGGATGCTGTGTGCGTCAAGGAGAGGCTTATTTAATAAAAGGCCCCTAGGTACAGAGTCAAACGCAGATGTGTAGTCTAGGAAAGCACCACGGACATATTTGGCACCTTTGTCTAAACAAGAAACAACATTAATGATATAAGACAACCGCAGCAATCCAAGGTACTTCTACCATGTTTAATATTGCAAATTGCTTAGGGTCATTAAAGCTTTCAATGAAGGTTCAAGACGAAGTAAAAGTAGTTTTTTCCATCAATTTTAAAAAAGGAGAAGTAATTGCAATAGGCCTAAATTTACTATCGGTACCTAGAAGATTGTTTTGGGTATAGGGGACAATTTTAATGTTTTTCCATGCAGAAGGTAGAACATTACTGGAAAAGGAAGCATTAAAAATATTAGTAAGAGGGTAACACAAAATATCAGCACAGTTCCTGAGGACAATGGCAGGTACGCCATCAGGACCAAGGCTTTGGGAAGGCTTATAGAGAACGGAGACATTTAAGCACATCAAGTGGTATTAAAACCATTAAAATTATTGTCTATGTGATTTGTATCATTAGGAAGGATATCGTCAGAGGAGCGTATGAAAGACTTATTAAGATTATTAACATTAAGAGATTGTACAGAATTACACCGCTTACCGCTAGTTATTTCTTTAAAAAGTTTCCATAAACTAGAAGGGGTTTTACATGACAAAAAATCTTTGGTTGTATAAAACATTTAGTCTGTGCATTTCGAGTTTTATCAGGGGATTTAGCTTTTTCACACCTGGACTTATCATTTGTTTTGAACAACAGTTCTTTATCTCTACGGAGCTTTTTGAGATATGGAGAAGAGAAACGGTCAAAACGAGTGAATAATGTTTCTTTAGGACAACATATTTCCAAACAGAATTTAAGATAATCTGTGGTGTTTGTGATTGTGTCATTTAATGTTTGTTCTGTAAATAGGTCCCAGTTAGTATCTATCAAACATGCATCTGAAGTTTGCTTAGATTATCTTGTGAGTAGCATCTCCGTTTGAAATTTACTGTAGAGGTGAGAGAAGGACACGTTTGTGTGATTTGGAATATATTTTAGGCAGTACACGTATGATGCAGTGGTCAGAGTTCAATACAGGAGCACGTTTGCGAGCTTCATATATACCAACATCATTGATGAATACGAGATCTAGTGTTTTTTCGAGACGGGTAGCAAAGTTAACAATATTGTCGATGGCCAAGTGATATAAGGAAGGAGTGATCACAAGAGTTAAAATCGCCAGTCACTATTGATAAAGAGTTCTCGAAACAAGCTGCAGCAAAAGCGGTGAATTCATCTGCGAACATAGATAAATCCGATATGGTACAGCCAGGAGAGACATAAACATTAGAAATATAAATGAATTTGTATTTTGACAAGGTGTCTCGGGCGACATCTGACAGTGATGCAATCAATGTAGTCATTCGAGAATTGTGAAACAAACATTGTTAGAAATAGACCATTTTTGAGTGAATAAATGTAGCTACTCCACCGCCGGCATTTTTTCTTGGAACAAACACGGTCTTGTCGGAATACATTAAAATCATTTAAAGATACTATATTGTCATCATATGAGTCATGAAGCCAGGTTTCTTGTAGAGTTACAATACCAGTATTATGATAAGTTTCGGACAACAACAGGGACTGAAAATCCAGAATTTTGTTAGGCAGTGACCGACAGTTCGTACTAACGATAACCGGAACAGTAGTTTGATGTATGGGTGTAGATTTTAAAGCACGTTGCCAACCACCATGGTGCTTTTTCTTGAGTTTATTGCAAATATGAAAGTTTTTAGGTTTTAATGATTTTATATAATCCCGAGAGTGAATGATACGATTATTCTTTTCAAACTCTTTGGAGAACGTCATTACATCTGTGTGACCCAATAGAATTTAAGATTGAAAGGGCCAGGTAAAAAAGTCTTTTAGCTAAATTACAGGCATACAAAGTTAGCGAAAGAGACAGATGAGTGCTCATGTGACTTACAAATATAGAAAATCAAAACAAGTGATTCAGAGAAGAGACTCTTTTCAACGAATTTATCACCAAGCTGTACAATCGTATATACATATATAGAAAATTGATTTCCACCACTTTTTATAGACAAGAGTATACATTCAAATCCTATAAAACGTAACTTATCATCCGCATCCACGAAAATACTGTACATGAGCTTGGGATTCAAAGGTGACTTAGCTTCCAACATCATGAAACGAAGGATATCACAGTCCCTGAAAAGAACACTTCCTGCTGCATCTCTGAGAATAGCCTTTACCAGTCGACCATTACTGTTCAACAACCTGAAGAACAAGATCCCGCTGTTGACTAACTCTATGTGTGCGTTTATCAATTCACCTGCTCGTGTGGAGCTAGGTATATCGGTCGTTCGACTCGAGTTTTGTTCAAGAGGGTGCAACAACACTATCCCTCTGCATGGTTACGAAGAGGTGGAAGTGGAACAATAAGAAACGCGGTCATTGAACATCTGGTCGATAATGATCAGCCTATCTCTACAGCCTCCGCCTTTAAAGTCATCTACAAGGCAAAAAGTAATTTGCCCAAATCACTGCGTACCCGACTCATCTGTATTGCTGAAGCTTTGCCTATCGAAACAGAAAAGCCAGATCTCTGTGTACAGAAAAAGTTCGCTCAACGCCTCCAACTTTCATGGTCTTAATCCCTCCTCTATGCTAAAGTATGGTAATCCCCAATCATATTTTGGCTTTACCAATTTTTTCATTTTGTCTATTCAGTTTGTATACTCTTCCTTTATTACGTCAATTGTTACTATTACTATTCTCACTTTGAACTGTCTCCGGTATTATTTCACTTGTTCCACTTGTCAGTTATGTTTTGCAACGTTAAATTCTATGTTATCAAATTTCACACAATATTACGTAACGTTTTTACTTTTGTTCTATTCTCCCACTCTACTAATCCCATAATTTCACACCCCTTCCATGTATGATACATCCTATGAATTATTCTATATATCACATTAATTGTTTTGCCACTTGACATTTAACTGTGATTATAATCATAAATATTTTAATTGTATTTTATACTACTATTATTATTTCATGTATTCACACTTTTGATCTAATAATAATAATAATAATTTACTTTATTCCCAAAACAGTACTTGTGATACAGAATGGAATTTTCAGCATTAATCACAATATTGCATCTAATTTCCTCAAATTATAAATAAAAATTAGTCACACAGAAAATTTTCCACATTTACAATAGGGGTAATGTAAAAAAAAACATGCAGCATATAAAATGGAAATAATAATAATAATGATAACAGCTAAGGTAATAATAATACAAGTGAAAATTGCTGTGGGCTTGTTTCACACAGTATTGTCGATGCGGTATACAAATCCTTGTATGATTAAAAATATTGAATATGATGTTCTCTTTACATGATATGGTGAGGGGAAAAACAAAGATTACAGCAGTCATTGAGATAAGTTGGTGTTTGCAATTATGAGAGTAAAACAAAGAAGCAACAGGACCATAAATATAATAGAAATAATAAAAGTAAAACTTGAAGGTATATAAGGATGGATGGAGGAAATTGTTTATTTACTAGATGAAAAAAGGTTAGTTAATTCTTGCCTGACACTATTTTCATCACATAAAATACGTGCCAAGTATGGTATCATAGAATTTTTATACTTAGACGTGTGAGCATACAGTTTTCTGAAGTTACTTCTTGTTCTACCTGAGGAGATGCAAGGTGAAAGCTGAGGGTAATTCCCTCACCGGATATAACTTCTTAAAACCCATAATATACGATTGTACAGCTTGATGATGAATTCGTTGAAAAGAGTCTCTTCTCTGAATCACCACTTGTTTTGATTTTCTACATGTTACAATGGGAATTTTCGATGACTTACAAATATGCCTTACTTTTTGCTCAGTTTAATACTGAAAGTGTCGCCGATGTTGAAGCGCTCACAGTCAAGTGTCGAAGCTCAAAAAATACGAGCTAATTTTCGATAATTTTGATTAACATTTCCGATTGTACACCCCCCTCCCCCATGAGCTTGACTCCAGTTGGGCGAAACAGCCAACCGTCTATTGTTTAAACCACTCCGATCTGGTTAGCCAGAAAGAACCACGATTTGATGTGAGTGATATCCAACTACTTATCTCGATCAATCAGTAGTATGTACCCACCCGTATGTATTCGTTGATATTGTCCTACTAATATTTTTGATTGCACACTAGTCAGTCACTAGTGTAATGCGTCTAGTCCTATCTTCGGTGCAGACTGAATTCTATCAGTCATGTTTGCAATGTGGCCACCATGCTAGGTGGCTCGTCATTACGGTGCACTGTGAATTGTTGGTATTAGATGGTTGGAGGCAATCGGCAGGAAGCCTTGGACCTAGGTTTCGTGCTAGTTGGCACTCATCAGCAAGGCGTATCTGCAACCTTGAAGGAACTCATGTCCCTTCTGAGGAGATTCGAACCCGCGTCACCCAGTGCTGCAGTCAGAGACGTTACCACTGAGCTATTCAGGCTCGCGACTGACCTCCTGTAGGACTGTATTGGATATTTTTGATTCCACACTGGTCAGTAACTAGTGTAATGCGTCTAGTCCTATCTTCGGTGCAGACTGAATTCTATCAGTCTATCTGACTGCAGCACTGGGTGACGCGGGTTCGAATCTCAGAAGGGACATCAGTTCCTTCAAGGTTGCAGATACGCCTTGCTGATGAGTGCCAACTAGCACGAAACCTAGGTCCAAGGCTTCCTGCCGATTGCCTCCAACCATCTAATGTTCTACTAATAGTTGATCATCTCAATCCATAATAATTATCTTACAAAACATACTCTCTTTGTATGAGTTATACACTTGACTTTTGTTGGGACAAGCTAACTTTGTTGTGAATCGATCTCTTTTTCTTTTGCAGTTCTGCACTACATCGTAATTTGACTACACGTTTAGCTGTAGCATGTGTAGATGATACACTGATACGTAGTTATTTAAATTCACCTGTTGTTCGTCGACTTATCAATGTACAACCAGATGTGCCAAAGGAATGGGATATATGCAGTGATGAAGTCAATGTTAATTACATTCGTACTTATAAAGATTTATCTGAACAGTATATGAAACTACTTCAATCCAGTGTAAGTCAGTCAGTTATGTTATTTTTTGTTCTATTTCCCACTGATTCGTTTCTCCTTAAATTTAAATGCTCAGTCCACTGTTGGTATGCCATCTTCTAGCATGTACGGTAGCCATGATGTCACTTGATGGCTGATGTAGGCTGTCAGTGGAATACAACACGACCTGTGTTCCTTCCCACTTGGGACTCGTCAGCTTGTTCTATGTGGAGTTTGAAACGATGGTTGGTGGGTTCAGGTGTAAGTAGGTACAGCGTAATTTCCTGGTTGATTGTGGGCAGGTTCAGAGGATGAATTCCGAAAAAGGACGAAGTGTGCATTCTAGATTCGACTGATGGCCAGAACCAACCAAATAATATCTTCTATTGTGTATAATGATTGCTTTTTAGGTCGCCTTAAATGTTAAAGACAGCGAATTAATCGGTTTAAAAAGTGATTTACGGGAAATTCAGACATCTATAAAACACAAAATTATTGAGCAAACAATATCCTTTTCGATAATTTCCTCTTCTAGCTCTACAATTATATATATGTTGATTTACCTGGAATATTCTAGATTAGTAGTCAATAACAATATTAGTGTTTTTTTAAATAATATCGATTTGTAAAGTAAGGTCGACGGAATTTATTAAAGATGCCTAAATTACAATAATAATAAAAATAGAATGTAAATTAAAACTGAGGAAATTTCTACAAAAAACTGAGGATCATCCGAACCTAGATAGTCAAGGTAAGGATAATGTCTGAACTAGCTTCCTTTGGATGCATGAATTAAGCTTCTTAATGTGGACCGCAATAGCCAGCCAGCCTCAGCAATATTTATTAGTCGAACTCTTAAGGCGAAATTAAGAATTGTTGGTATGAGGTGAATTTTTATTTTATTTTATTTTTTTATTTTTGATTAGAGCTTGAAACCACACAGTATTTTTGATACAAGTATGGAATTTGCAGCATATGATATCGGTATCCCAAATTTTACAGGGTGACCATAGATATCAGGCGTGCGTCGGCAGGGGATCGAACCCCAGACCATGTGCATAGTCGGCGAGAGTCGTAACCACTGTGCTACCGACCCTGAAAGCATGGTAACTGTGATACCAGTTACATAGGCCGTACAATTAGGCATGTCGAATTTCCGAACATCATCCTGCACAGTGGTTGGTTGAGTAACGGACAAACAAAATCTATTCTTAGTGCTATTCCATCTCATCTTGTGGATACAGAACACAAGACTGACGTTAACTAAATATTACTGAGGGTGGCTATTGCGGTCCACATTAAGAAGCCTAATTCATGCGTCCAAAAGAAGCTAGTTCAAACATCATCCTTACCTTGGTCATCTAGGTTTGAATGATCCTCAATTTTTGTGAAATTTCCTTAATTTTAGTTGATATTCTATTTGCTATTATATCTTTATTATTATTATAATTTAAGCATCTTTAATGAACTGTGGTAATTCCGTCGATCTTACTTTACAAATTGATATTATTTAAAAAACACTAATACTGTTATTGACTACTAATCTAGAATATTCTATGTATTCAAACTTATATATAATTGTAGAGCCAGAAGCGGAAAGTATCGAAAAGGATATTGTTTGCTCAATTATTTTGTGTTTTACTGGAAATAATTTGAAATCGTAATGAAATTCATTTTGTCCTTAAAATATGAGGGTCACTGTTAAATTCAATCAATTTATGTCTGCTTCTACCAACATGTGACGTATATACCTGGTAAACTGATGCTTGACATTCATGAGTCTAACTAACTGACTTCTGATTTGGTGTTAAAAGGTAGAAGTCAGTCGCACCTATGCTTTCGTGCTTGTTGGCACTCATCAAGACGACGTGTCCACAATCTTGAAGGATTAATATCCATTATGAAATAATTCGGACTCACATCACCCGGTGCTGAAGTCAAAAACGATATCACACTGAGATTATTTCTTTTGGGTCCAAGGCTTTTCGTTGGCTTTCCCTCATCCATCTAATATCAATTCATCAAAGTGAGCCGAAATGACGAGTCAGCTTGCCTGGTGACCGCATTGCAAAATTGACTGTCATAAAATTCAGTCAGTACGAACACTAAGAGTGAGAGACACTTAACATCAACTGCTTCCTAGTGAGCAGTCAATTTACCTTCTAATTTATTATTCAGATCCATATGATCAGCAGATGCGTCCTTGCAATCCTGGATGCGCATTTCTTCCTGTTTGAGACTCGTCAGTTGGATGTACCTGCATTCCCTAGTCAGTGGGTGATGATGTTCCTACCGAGGCTCGAATCCAGTGCCCATAGTTTCAAACGCCAAAGCCTTATCCACTAGACCACTTGGGCCATGAGAGCCACCTCTTGTGCAACGGGTCATATTAAATGTTTTAGTTGAATTTTAGATTTTCCCGTCCATTGATTGGGAACCTCATCACTCACTGAGGAATGCAGGTACATCCAGTTGGCTGACGAGTCTCAAATAGGACGAAATGCGCGTTATCCTGGATTCCACTGCTAGTCACCATCCATCACTTAACCTATTGGTTATTCTTGTTCTCATACCACCACTTCAGTATAGCATAATATACAGTATAATATAGCATGAATGACTTTATGTATGTGTAGCTGTTACCTAATTGAATTGACTGCATTTTTTGAAATTTATTTAAGTATATATATATATAGGCTGGTTGGGAGTATTCATGTTCTGACTTTTCATCGAATACAAGTGGTACACAACTACTCATCTCAATCCATCAGTAGTATGTGGTGTCTTGCACTTTTGATTACTTTTTCGATTTCCTTTTGATGTCATCAAGCATATTACATATTATGTGTTATCTGAATAATTTCTGTTACACCAAATCCGGTCGGTTGGTCGGTTTTCGACATAGAACTTTGCACATATGTGCACCAGTTCAAATCGCCACACTCCACTCCTTGTAGCACACAAAGAAAGAGAAGAAAGTAGGAGAAATGCATAACATAGGCAGTAAACAGAGGTGTGAGACAAAGGAATAGTAATAACGAAGAACAAAACAGTTTAATTGGAAATCATAAGTCACAAGGAGTGGATGCATCTGTGTTAGCCATTGACAACGACGATTTTGAGCCATGTCACCAATTGTTTCCAACCATTGGTTTTTACCGTCCCGAGGACCCCAACCAGGAAGTCTACACCTTTCTACGTGGCATAGACTAACTGTTGTGGATTTCGTTGACTGGTGCCATGTTTTCGTTTGACCGCCGCTAGCTCTTTCCCAGCCTGGCCCTATATCAGCTAACATTGCCCGTTACACCAGAGGAAACTGTGGTGAACTTTCACCTCCTCGGACTGTTTAAATCGCTGATTCATTCCAGAAGTAAGGTTAAGATATAGGTTAAAGTTTGGGTTAGGTGAGGATTGAGGGATTAACAGTGCCTACTTACGCAAACCCACAACTTTTCAGTAGTTCAAAGGTCGCCATCCTGATTAAATTTGTCGATTTTCTTGTATTCATCCTAAATAGATTCCTTTTTGTAATCAGCAATATTTTCAATGAATTATACGATTTTTCTAATTGATTTTCCTAGGTGCCATTTGGTAAGTCATTGAGGTAGGTGTTGATTGCTGTTATTCGTAGCTGATTCCCTCAGTTGTCTGTTTCTTATCTGTCTGTCTGTATCTTATTTTGTTGTGTTCACATTCTGTTGTCACGTACTGGTCTAGAAGAGATTTGACTGGTTAGAGGTTTGATCATCAGTTAGAGAACCATTGGGAAACAATTATTGGAGTACTGGACAGCTGTTTCGTCTTGGTTTGAGACTCTTCAGTGATACGCAGCCACTGAGGTTCGAACTCAGAATCTTCTGGTTACAAGGCAAGCTCAGAGACCATTCTGTCACTGTGGCCCGATCCATTGATCCATGAATTCCAACTTCTGAAAATTCGCGATATATATATTTCATTGACGAGTAACTGTTCTTTTACCTGTCTTGGTGTACCCCTCTGATTACCACTTTTTACTTAGACTCAAGGTAATTTGTTGTATTGGGAAAGTCACCAGTGACTTGACAAAATGTTGAACAGGATGACTGAATAGTCTATGAGGTTGTCTTGTGACCGGAAACTCTGGGATTCAAACGTTGGTGGCTGCGTAGTGTGGGAGAGTCACTACCTGGGACGAAATAACTGTACAGTACTCCCTTAGTGATATCAGCTCGTGATCGATAGTGATCTGTCATATCCTTCTAAAACAACATATCCCATTAAGCCTGTAGCAATCCAAACATCGCATAGTGAAACTGCACCTCCAGCATATATTTATCATTTGTGTTGTACTTTCATCTTGAACCATGTTTCTTTCAATCTGTTTTAAATTTCCGTCTTTATATTACCGCTCTGTACACATGTGGTGTCTATCTCTATATTACACCTTACTGACGATGAAAGCCCTTATGACATCAATTAGATCCGGCAACTGACTACTTGAGGTTATTGTGGTATATTAATATTTTTACGTATCTTAGACAAATCGTGTGCTCTGTATTCTACGCATAACCTGAGTGTGTTTTGGTGTAGAGAGTAGTTGAAAGTTGAAGCAGTTTATTTTCATCCAGGATATGTTAGGAAAAGTCTACTTTGAGAAATCATCCATATTCAGGAAGAAAACCCACTCCAGTAAATATTTAAACTTCAAGTCATGACAACCCATCAGCGCAAAGATTTCAGTTGTTTCAATTCTTCTTAGAGGGGCACACTCTCTCATAACGGATGAGAAAGAAAAAGAATAAGAAATATCTAACATTACTGAAACTCTCAAGCAAAACAACTACCCAAGGAACTTCATCAACAAAATCAACACTGATTTGAAGAATGGTCGAAAATGCATTCCGAAAATATGGAACTCAACAGTCGTCATTCTATATAGAGCAGAGACGTCAGATGATATCAGAACAGTACTCAATCAGCCCGACGTTAGAGTTTTTTTTTTTCAAAACATTAGACACACTGCGAAACAACCTTGTCCATATAAAAGACCAAATCCCTAAAGATTCTCTATCTAATTGTGTCTATAAAATAAAATGCTTGCTTGGAATGTGATGCGATATACATCGGACAAACATCACCAGAGAGAAATCAAAATCAGAAGAAATGAACACCGTAGAGCATCTGTTCGACCACCGAGAAATCCAGTTAGTGAACTAGAAAAGCTTGAAAAATCATCAGCCATAGCTTGTCTACACGCTATAGAATCAGGCCACAAAATTGATTTTGACAATATTGAAATCATCATCCAGAAAAATTTCAGAAATCACAAAGAACGTCGTCTGATATCATCAGAAGCACTTCATATCAAATGGAATCCAAATTGTCTGGTGAATAGGAATGATGGACTAAAACAGAATTTGACCTGGTTACAACACCTCCCTCCCCCATGAAGTGACAAAATCAACACGAATGTGATAAGCAAGTTCACTATGTAAACACACACTGCTTTTATAATTTTACACACTTATCAAATCCAACAATCTACACTTGGTTTTATTATCTTTACCAACTGACCAACTTGACAACGAAAAATGACCCCATACTGACGAACGATGATCAAGTTAGTAAACTTTGTTTTGATACCATAACAGATGTACCATTACCTTTGTTATTTGGTTTAGTTATCTTCGTCGCTATTTTTACTTTCAATATGTCCCTTTAACTTGACCTATGTCTATTTTCTCACCCCCTGACTGTTTGTTATATATATGCTGAGATTTTGTAAATTCCGATTTAATAATACTTTGATAAAGCTATTAGCATTAAATGCTATATTCATCCTAAATAGATTCCTTTTTGTAATCAGCAATATTTTCAATGAATTATACGATTTTTCTAATTGATTTTCCTAGGTGCTAAGTCATTGAGGTAGGTGTTGATTGCTGTTATTCGTAGCTGGTCCCCTCAGTTGTCTGTTTCTTATCTGTCTGTCTGTATCTTATTTTGTTGTGTTCACATTCTGTTGTCAATTGGTGGTCTAGAAGAGATTTGACTGGTTAGAGGTTTGATCATTAGCTGACATCAGTTAGAGAACCACTGGGAAACAAGTATTGGAGTACTGAACAGCTGTTTCGTCTTGGTTTGGGACTCTTCATTGATACGAAGCCACTGAGGTTCGAACTCAGAATCTTCTGGTCACAAGGCGAGCTGGTAGACCATTCTGTCACTGTGGCCCGATCCAATGATCCATGAATTCCAACTTCTGCAAGTAACTGTTCTTTTACCTGTCTTGGTGTACCCCTCTGATTACCACTTTTCACTTGGACTCCATGTAATTTATTGTATCGGGAAAGTCGCTAGTGACTTGACAACATGTTGAACAGAATGACTGAATAGTCTACGAGGTTGTCTTGTGACCGGAAACTCTGGGATTCAAACCTTGATGGCTGCGTACTGTTGAAGAGTCCCTACCTGGGACGAAATAACTATACAGTACTGTCTTAATGATGTCAACTCGTAATAGAACTTTCTATCTATCGAATCCCCGCGAACCAGCAAATCTTATTTGGCCCTATAGCAATCCAAACATTGCATAGTGAAACTGTACCTCCAGCATATGTTTATCATTTGTGTTGTACTTTCATCTTGAACCTTGTTTCTTTCAAGCTGTTTTATATTTTTGTCTTTATATTCCCGCGCTGTTCATTTTAACACAAACATGTGGTGTCTACCTCTATACTACACCTTGCTGATGATGAAAGCCCTTATGACGTCGATTAGATCCGGCAACTGACTACTTGAGGTTATTGTGGTATATTAATATTTTTACGTATCTTAGACAAATCGTGTACTCTGTATTTTATGCATAACCTGAGTGTGTTTTGGTGTAGAGAGTAGTTGAAAGTTGAAGCAGTTTATTTTCATCCAGGATATGTTAGGAAAAGTCTACTTTGAGAAATCATCCTGTATTTTAAACTGAAAGCTGTTGCTGTGGGTTCCATAGTCTCCCCAATAGTCGCCGTCCTTTTCATGAATAGATTTGAAAATAACATCTTTTCAAGCATACTCACTCCTAAAATATGGTTAAGATATATAGATGATACTGTTGTAGTACTAAAACGAGATCTACACAGTTCTGTGTATCTCCCAGAATCCAGTTTACTTCGGAAGCAGAATCAGACATCGGTGAACTACCATTTCTAGACTGCCTAGTTGAGAGAAGGGAAAACGGACATTTTAGTATATCCATATTCAGGAAGAAAACCCACTCCAGTAAATATTTAGACTTCAAGTCATGACAACCCATCAGCGCAAAGATTTCAGTTGTTTCAATTCTTCTTAGAGGGGCACACTCTCTCATAACGGATGAGAAAGAAAAAGAATAAGAAATATCTAACATTACTGAAACTCTCAAGCAAAACAACTACCCAAGGAACTTCATCAACAAAATCAACACTGATTTGAAGAATGGTCGAAAATGCATTCCGAAAATATGGAACTCAACAGTCGTCATTCTATATAGAGCAGAGACGTCAGATGATATCAGAACAGTACTCAATCAGCCCGACGTTAGAGTTTTTTTTTTCAAAACATTAGACACACTGCGAAACAACCTTGTCCATATAAAAGACCAAATCCCTAAAGATTCTCTATCTAATTGTGTCTATAAAATAAAATGCTTGCTTGGAATGTGATGCGATATGCATCGGACAAACATCACCAGAGAGAAATCAAAATCAGAAGAAATGAACACCGTAGAGCATCGACCACCGAGAAATCCGGTTGAACTGGAAAAGCTTGAAAAATCATCAGCCATAGCTTGTCTACACGCTATAGAATCAGGCCACAAAATTGATTTTGACAATATTGAAATAATCCTGAAAAACTTCAGAAATCACAAAGAAAGTCTCTTATCATCAGAAGCACTTCATATGATCAAATGGAATCCAAGTTGTTTGAATAGGAATGATGGACTAGAACAGAATCTGACCTGGTTACAACAACTCCCTCCCCCATGAAGTGACAATATCAACACGAATGTGATAAGCAAGTTCACTAGGTAAACACACACTGCTTTTTAATTTTACACACTGATCAAATCCAACTATTTACACTTGGTTTTCTTATCTTTACCAACTGACCAACTTGACAACGAAAAATCACCCCATACTGACGAACGATGATCATGTTAGTAAACTTTGTTTTGATACCATAACAGATGTACCATTACCTTTGTTATTTGGTTTAGTGATCTTCATTGTTATTTTGACTTTCATTATGTCCTTTTAACTTGACCTATGTCTATTTTCTCACCCCTTAACTCTTTGTTATATATATATGAACTGCGGTTTTGTAAATTCTGGTTTAATAATACTATGATAAAGCTATTAGCATTAAATAGCGAAACGTCAGTAAAAACAACAATATCGTTTTGTTTTTCATTCATTGAGAAATACAAAAATCTTTATTATAATGAATTAACATTTCTTCTTTGATTTCAAAAGTGGAAAATTGAACTTCAGCAAAATGTTTTCATTGTACTCGATTTTTAGCTGTCAGTTTTAATCAGCTCCACGATTGACCGAAAGCTTTTATCTCCACTTCACATCATCTCCTCCATGTGTCACCCAAATAGTTACGACCTATTCAGGCAGCAGCAATCGAGGGAGGGCCTGACTTACGTTTGATGCCACTTGAAATAAAGGCCTGTTCAGGGTATGTTCAACCCCTCGCTATTTTCCTTTACCTATTTGTTGTACAATAGGCTGTTGGATAGTCCTCTGCCACAAGAATTCCTTGTCGTTTATTGTCTCTGACTTGCAGGCTATCTGATCTTCAGTATGAAACAGGAGAAGGCAGGTGCTGATGCGAATCTTCGATAGGCTGTTGTTTCCATTATGGTCTAATAAGTGGAATCGTTTGACTGTGTGTGTGTTTTTGTGTCGTCTATTTTCTAATTTTTTTTCATTTTCTTTTAGTTGGAGCCAAACTGTATTTTTTTTAAAGTGTAGTGACTGTTTCATCATTCCGTCCTTGATTTCTTTAAAATTCTGTGTTTTAGATCCCTACATTGATATACAACGGTGATATTGATGTGGCTTATAATTATCTCGGTGGTGAAATGTTTGTAGATAATTTGAAATTAAAGGTGAGCGAATTATAATATTGATTGATATTATTATTATTAGTGTATCGTATGCTACTGTCAAAACTTAATAAGTAGTATATATACGTAGATGTAAAATATCTACCATCTGCAACATTATTAACTAGCGGAGGGATGGATTTAATGATGAAGAGAAGAAATAAACGAATCTTTTGAAAAACAACATGGAAAACATGGAAAGTAGACAGAGAAGGACAATATGAAGGAAATGTGCAAATTGTGATTCAAATCCTTCGTAGATGTGTTCTCAACTCCAGAGCCTTTGACTTGAAGTCTTTTCTACCATACCGTGGAGCAGCGTCAGAAGATACTTACTCATGATTATCGGTGACTGAAACTGTTTTATACACCATTCGGTCCTTTCGGATTCTCTATACCCTATACATTATAGTTTCGGAATCGGCACTTCCTATCTCCGTGGTAGACCTGGGTGTTCACAACTCCGTTGGTAAGCACAAGACGTCCGTATTTACCCTCTGATGCATAAGACTTACCTGGAAGAGGCTTTGAATGAGTGGCCGCATAGTAGTGTTTCGAGGGGAAGACCGAAGTCTACCCATTGTCAGCCGTACCACTGAGTCATAAATATTCCATTTCTTCAACCAACAAAAACGGTTTGGTTTACTCCTATTAGCCGCCTCAAGCTTATTCGTGCACTTATTGGTTTAACTCACTATCCTTCAGCTTTCGTCAACTTCTTCAAAATGCAGCAGCTAATTTTCTCTTCTTATTCCTTTAAGTTCTGAGCAGAATGTAATGCTTCAAGCTTGAGAGTTGAAGTTGTACTGACCGGTTGTGATTGCTAGTCCCATGCTTAACTTTCCCTCCATTACGAGTTTGCTGGCTAGGCGGGGTTAAGGAGAGTGCATTGGCGACCTGGAATTGAAACCGGACGACGTGTGTCTCTGTATGTCTGGATTCAACATAGAACTTGGCACGAAGTCAGCAGTTCGAGTTGCCACGTTCCAAATAGCACACAAAGGTACACAAGAAGATGAGTGAAGAGAATCAATAGAGTTTTGACAAGTATAAGAGTGAAACAGAATGAGTAATGGTAGAAAGGAATATGAAACTGAATAATACAGAGACTGAATACATCTGCGTAAGCCATTGACAACGATTTTGAGCCATGTCACCTATTGTCTCCAGCCATTGATTCTTAGAGTCCCGAGGGCGGGCCCCAACCCGGAGGTTTGCATCTCCCTCCCTACCTGACTCAGTTTAACTGTCAGGGATTTCATGGATTGATACCATGTTTTTGTTTGGCCACCACTTACTCTTTTCCAACCTGCACCTATATCAGCTAGTAATGCCCATCGGGAGGGGGAGACGATGGTTAGGCATGCGCAGCACGTGACCTAGCCATCTCAATCTATGTAACTTTATAGCCTCTTCGATTGATTTTCCCTCTTTGCCCAACACTCTACGCCTAACGTCAACATTACTTACCTCATTATACCACCTAATGTGAGAAAGAGATCGTAGACATCTATGATCAAAAACAGACAACCTTTTCATGTCTTCAACTCGTATTGGCCATGTTTCAGAGCCATAGAGAAGGACGGAGCGAACTGCTGAGCAGTACACACGTCCCTTGGTTGATAGCCGGATGTCACGCCTACGCCAGAGATGGTGTAAGTTAGCGAAAGCGACGTGTGTGGTTGACGGGTGTCATTCTACCACTGTATAACTGTCACTAACTAATAGATTGTTATCTATTTAACGAAATATTTTCGTAAATCCCCCCTTCGTCTTTTACTTCAAATTACAGCCTACTTTATCACGTCGATATTGGTTGTATACAGAGAGTGATGGTACTAAACAGATTGGAGGATTTTGGAAAAGGTTTGAAAGTCATGGCTCAATTCTGACGTATGCTACAGTTCGTGGAGCAGGAAATAAAGTGCCTGGAGATAAACCTGCTGCAGCTTTTCAACTAATCAATACATTTATTAATAAGGGTTCATCAGTTGAACAAAAATCGAAGAAAATACACCTGATCTCATTGCTATGTATACTTTCTTTTTTTATTTCATCTCTATAATTAATGACCTACATAAGATAACTACGCGAACGCTCACTTTATTTTTTTAAGACAAAATCTATTCTATTGATGAAATATTCAAACCGTTCACTGTGTACGGCATAGGTCCGGGCGCCGTGACTCTCGGTCGCTGAGTCACACTGGCTCGGACCTTGCTGCTTTACCTGTCGAGGTTTCAGCAGCCGTCTAATGGTGATGTCATTAGCCATCACACACACAAAAGAGTATGTTTCATTGGCAACTGTGTACGCAACTGCAAATTGCTTTTGATTAACACATTTCATTCACAGTGTGATTACATCCCGTTTTTTAATAGAAATTCACGTTTGATATATATAAAAGTGTGGGATTCAGTTTTCCATTGAACATTTTCATCGATTATATAAATTGGCGGTAGTTTTGTCAGTAAGTTAAAGCTTGACAGGCTATCTGTGAACTTGGAGTTTGAGTAGTTTGTTCAATGGGGTACTAAATAAGATTTCGATTTTATTACTATAATAAATCCACGTTTTTACGTTTTATAATGTGCTAACGATGTACAACACAGCCAAATACTAACAACAACGTTGTATTAAGTAGCATAAGTGAGAACTTGAAAAGATGTAGTGTTAACGAAATCAAATCTCGAAAAGTGCGAGGAGAATGGCAAAGTGTGTAACGCATAATATCGGTACACCAATTAGTTCTACAAGCGTACAGTTAGAGCTAATATAGAGGTGCTACAGTTCCATAAACTGACGAGGATATCAAGGCGAGGATAGGGAAAGCAAGGCAAGCTTTCATTTCTCTCAAGTCTGTGTGGAGGTGAACAGCACTCAGCATGAAAATGAAAATAAGATCCGGATTTTCAACTCCAATATGAAGTCAATGCTGCTTACTATACGTACGGATCAGAGACTCAGCACCGCATCACGAAGGGCACTTCGAATAAACTACAGATTTTCATCGACAGCTGTCTTCGCTCAATACTACCCAAGATCAGATGGTTGGCCATAAAAGATCAGCAACAGGGATCTCTGGAAGCGAACTAACCGAGAAGGAAGAAATGTAGGTGGACTGGCTGGTCATACTGTGAGAAAACAAACCATCATCAAGTGACATCCACCACACGCCAGACCATCGCTCGAGTGGAACTCGAATGGGAAGCGGCGAGTTAGTTGGTCTTCAGTGCGAGGGTGACATGGAAGAGGTCATGTGAAGAGGGATGAAAGCATGTGGGCAGATGTGGAGCCAGGTGACAGAGACGTTGGCGGAGAACCGAACGCAATGGAGATGTGTGACTGAAAATGTATTTTCCTCTAGGAATTAAAGGAAACAATAATAACGATAACAGTTCCAGAGCTGATAAATTATTGAATTTTTAACGTAGATCTTAACACAAAAAATGCAGTAATTCAAGTTGCCATATACAAAGTAGAGAGAAGGAGAACAGATTTCAAAAAACCTATAGTGAGCAGAAATATACAGTGGAAAGAAAAGTCCCATGATGAAACATGAGGTCCTAATGGATCTTGGAGGTTACAAACAGTGAATGCATCAGTGCCAATAAGAACGGGTTTTACCCGCTTCATCATCATCAGTCTCCAGACATTAGTTCTTAGTATATTTTCATGATTAATATGGAATTGAAGAATCGGTGAACTAAACAAATATATAAGTGGAGGCTGTTGATAGGAAACTGAATTATTCCTAACTGGACACTAGCAAAACAGGATTTCTCCAAAACTAGGATTCAAAAGTAAAACATCACCTACTGTTTATTAGTCAACTATTCAGGTGGATCAGAACCTTTTCTTGTTGTGCTTGCTCATCACAACTAATCATCTACTTCGAAACTGTTTGTCAGCTTCAGCAACTTGCGGTTGGAATCTGTGGGTTGGTTTTTGCAGTCGTGTACATTGGAGAAGGAAAAGACGATTCCATACCTGATATACGGTCCATTTTTGGAATTGATATAGTTCATAGGGAAAAACACCGTCTTTGTTCGGCGAAGGCCTATGTCTTTTCAACGACTTCATTTTCAAGAGGTACAGTCGTATTTATATTGCGGAAAAAGGCATTAAGTGGCACTAGAAACCGCTCAATCAATATACATATGATAAGAAAAAAGATAATTAATAATAATGTGCGTCGGTGACACAGCGGTTAGGACGCTCGCCGACCATGTGCATGTTCCGGGGTTCGATCCCCTACCGACGTACACCTGATATCAATGGTCGGCCTGCAAAATTTGGGCTACCGATATCACATGCTGGAAATTCCATACTTGTACCAAAAATAGGGTCAAAGAATCAGGCTATAATCAAAATAAATAAAATATATTTAAAATGATTTACTAAGGAGGTAGAGTGGAAGTGGATAACTTACAAAGCTTTTTAAGATTATTAAATAAGTGAACTAGTATAAAGATTTCAAGACTGTAGGTCAAGTGTTGTCTAAAACATTAACAGTACAATGATGATAACAGTAAAGACGGTGAAGATGAAGTGATGTGGAGTGAACTCAAGTGGTAAAACTAAAATAAAAAAACAAAACTGTGACCAAGATAAAGAAGGGGGTTTAACAAAACGCTTTCGAACACATAATTTAGGTTTCTGTCCATGTATAGCTGAAGCTTCGGCTATGCATAAGCAGTTGTACTTTGTCCTGTAAATAACTTTGAAGGATAAATCATGTGGGGATGAATTACCTGACTCCAGAATGTATTTGCAAGTTGAAGACTTCGTCATCCTATGCTCACATTTCATTAACCAAACCGGGTGGTGTTCAGTTAGGCGTTTATGGAGAACACGCTTACTACGTCCAATGTAATCATCAGCTCCACACGAGCATGTTAATTGGTATGTGCACATAGAGCCAACAGTCACAGGGCAGTATACTGACTTCAATATTTGGATAACTCTAGGTAGGAAGAGAAGTCTTATCCGTTCTCTGTGCTCCAGAATTAGGAAAATCTCAATAAACCAAGCCATTATGTGGTGAGAGCGGGCTGCTGGCCAAATCGGCAATTAGTAATTTACGTCCTCAATATTGTTCGTGAGAAAATATGAACAAAGACTGATTCAACAACCAACCACAGCAGACTTTGCGTAGGCGGATACAGTTAGCATATAGATGATCTGACATTCAAGACACAGCAACAAAGTGATGAAAGATTAACTTTCAGTGAGAAACAACCAATCAGAAGACTGTGTTTTTCTGATAACAATCTATAATAACACAGATGCTGGCAGAGTTTTCAGGGGAACCACATAGCTTCGTGTGGAATATCACATCTTTCAGTTGCCATCCTCATTCCCTATCCTGTTATCGATATCGGTAGCGGCTCAATAGCACATGTTAACAAATTCCTAGCGCAACTTCCTGTTTCCAGGGTCTCAATAACCGTTCCCTCTTGCGAGGAAGGATGGTCGCTAACTAGTAGTAAAGCAGCGTCTACGTGGTCAAAAGATTCATTGAAGCAACATTTCATATTGAAATTGCACCCCACTAATGTCACCACTCACCATCAAATTCTGTTTGCTGAATGAACCAGAATGCCCTTCTTTGATTTCAATAAAGAAAGAAAAAGCTTGTCGTCTGTCAGTAGTTCAGGTCTCCTGTCATATGGTGTCTCGTGGAACCTTCGTACTGCATAGACTAGCGCAAGAACCTCTTCCTATGTTTGTGCGCAACACTTTTTCAGCTCCAGGTTATAGGCATAATGTATGGATAACGGTCTTTTGAGTTACTTAGAAAAATTCATGAGGAAGTATGGGACTAATTCCTGTTGCTGAAACTTCTGCAACTATGGTGTATTGTTTTGGATCATAATTTACTAACTCTGTTTCGAATCCGAGGATGCTCTTTCTTTGCTGAACGGCCTCATCTGCTTTTTCACACTAAACCCAGTGGTGACTTTGATGTACGAGGAAGTTCAGCGCACCCTATGAAGTGGTGGAAGAAAAGCCAAATCAAAGCTAATCATTCCAATGAAAAATTGAATCACTGGCACATCTTTCTGTACCGGCATCCTCTGAATCGCCATTATGTTCCCGGAGTCAAACCGTCGTCCATGAGCGTCAAATTTAAACCCGGGATACTTGAAAGTCTATGGCTTGAATTGACACCTTTTTGCTCTTAGCCGTAGACCGCTATATTCGCTCTCATAATTCTTTCAGGGAATATTCGGCTATCAATATACCGTCTAAATAAATGGAAACTCCGGGAACACCGGCTAAGGTAGTATCTATTAGTTGCTGGAAGGTGGCGAGAGTCCCAACTCAGAAACGTTACCTGTTCTATTGGAATAGTCCACGATGAGTATTTCTGGTTAGCAGCTGCTGGGACTCCCCTGAAACCTCTACCTGCAAGTAAACGTCAGCACAATCGATCCCAACGAAAACTCTTTCACCATTTAGAATGACTAATATGTCTTTAGGAGCCAGCAGAGGATTATTGTCCACTACTAGGGCTGCATTCAAGACAGACAAAAAGCCAACACAAATACTCACGGGTACACTTGCTTTCTAGTTAATTAATATTGGGCTGCCAAGGACGAATTAGCTACTGGAACTGTGACACAGGCTAATTATAATTGTTCCAGAGCAATCTCCAATATCTGTTATGAGACTCGCCGAACAGGCATTTCTGGGGCTGTTATGTTGTGACCGAGTGTAAATATGCCTAGCGCGATATAACGGACGATAACGTAGTAGTTAATTTACCCCGACACGAAGAGGAAAAGCACGATGGATACACCTATTTTCCATCAAGGGAAATTGACTGTCACACAAGAATGTGAGTGGAAAACTTCGTTAGGTGTCTCGAAATACTGCCAAAGCTTCCTCACTCGTTCAGATAGACAAGACTTGTTGGTCTACAACGTGATTGCTGTGAAGCCGATCATCCAGAAAGTACTAGGTAAAGTCGAAACAACACGCCACTCTTGTGTCCCAACACAGTCTTATGCAGCTCCCCACCTACTAACGCCACACTGCCAAAACATGGCACAGACAGTAAGAAGGACACTCCAGTCCTACTGACTGGAAATGCCAACCTTCGCAAGGTGAAGAGTCCCAAGGCTAAACCCACAACATCAGGAAAAGACAGAATTGCAAAAGCACCACTTGCATCCACTAGCAAGCTTTGCAGCACAGCGCTATCGCCGATAACGAAATCAGTATAGGTGATATGGTTCTGGTCAGGAGAGACAGGCATAATAAGGAAGGAGGGAGAGCTGCTATATACTTTGATAGGCAACTTAAGTGTGTGCGCGCAATGGACCCACCACTTATTGAACTCCCAGACTCTATATGGTGTCACTTCACCGTAGGCCACACTAAGCATTTACTGAGTGGCATCTAGCAATCACCCACCTGTGGGGCAGAGCACAACCAGCTACTGTTCAGCACTATCACAGGGATACGGGACTTGGGCTATGACCGAATGACCATAGCTGGAGATTTCAATGCCCCATCACTGAACCTTGGCTCGGGGTATGCTAAGGGAAAATTCGGCCGAAATCTACTGCAAACTATTCGAAATAAGGGACTGACTGAGAATGTTGGAGACGACACTAGGTCGGGACCTAGTGGAAAGTTATCTAAACTAGACTACATTCTGACTAGTGATCAACTACTCGTCAAAATGGTACAGATCATGAATCCTCTAGGAAGTAGTGACCATGCAGTCATAGGTTTCGATCTCGTTCTCCGTGAGCATTTGCAGTGGGATGTTACGCGACCATGTCTGTGTTATAGCAAGGCTGACTATGCTGAAACGCGGAGGCTCTTGTGCGACGCAGACTGGCCCTTAGCATGGGATGAGCTGTCTGTGGATGAACACTGGGAGGTGGTAAAAAAGATTATTCATACAGTAATCTCAGATACCGTCCCTTTAGTCACAACACAGCCCAAAAGAAAGTCATCATGGTTAAAGAGAGGTACGCAACGCATTCTGCAAGCAGAGAGGAAGGCTTGGTTTACGTGACGCGTATCTAAGAGTCAAATCGACCACAACGCATGCCTGGAACTCAGGAACCGGTGCAACGCGAGAGTCAGGAGTGACAGGAGGACATTCCAGGCTAACCTTCCCAAAATCTCCTAGCGAAACCCAAAAACTTGAGTCGATTTATGTCGGAAAGAAAACCAGCCAACCAAGGGGCATGCGCCTTAGTAGGCCCAAACGGTCAACATCTCACTAGTCTGGAGATGGCGGAAACATTCAGTTTGGCCTTCGCCAAACAACTAAACAGCAGTGTGGGTATTACCGTTACGGATCAAAATGGTGGCACTACTATTTCACAGCAGGAAGACCTAGTGCCTACTCCCCAAATAAACCCAGCAATAGCATTCAGTAAGCTACAGCGACTCACACCTGGGAAGTACCCAGGTTGTGACGACATCAGGCCATCTGTTCTGAAACAGTGCGCCGAAGCTCTCTGTAGGCCCTTATGCGACTTGTTCCAACATTCAATGGATTTGGGGAAACTGCCAAGGGAGTGGAAAAGAGCCATCCTTTCTCCGATGTTCAAGGGTGGGGAAAGGCAAAATCCCACCGGTTATAGACCAGTAGCTCTACTCCCAGTGGTATCAAAATACTGGAAAGTATTATTGAAAATCACGTCGTGGAATACCTCGATAGGTCTAATATACTCCATGAAGCCCAACACAGTTTCAGAGAAGGCAGATCCTGTGGAACAAACCTACTATCAGCTTGGGACGATTGGACATCATGCTGGGATATGAATGCTCCAGTCCATGTTGTCTTCCTAGACTTTGAGAAGGCATTCGACACCGTCCACCATGACATTCTCCTACACAAAATGAGTGAGGCTGGTATAGGTAAGTCCTTTCTGTCATGGTTAAAGGACTACCTAGCTGAAAGGCAATTTTGCACCAAGGTCAATCGAGTCCGATCATCTTGGCACAACTCGTCATCAGGAGTGTCGCAGGGTTCTATCCTAGGACCACTGATGTTTTTGATTTTTATCAATGACCTACTATGCCGTCTAAGCTGCCCGACTCTTCTATACACTGACGACGCGGAGATATGGAGGGCAATAAAGTGCCCAGAGGACTCAGATAGGCTACAGGAAGATCTAAACCTTCTGGAAGACTGGGCGGTGGCCAGTGGCATGACTTTCAACTTGAAAAAGTGCAAAGCAATGAAGTTACGCACCTGGAGACTGCAGAATGCAAGTTACACCCTGTGCAATGAAAGCTTGTCCTGCACAACATCGGAACGCGACTTAGGTCTAGTTCTAGCGGAAAAAATAGACACAAACTTGAATTACACGGGGGATGTAGTGAGGGCATATGTGGTCATACACTTTACACATAGACAGTTAGGTGCATTCACTCCTGAGCTCTTTCTAAGGTGGTACAGAACATACGTCAGACCACACCTTGAAGTGCATAATATTATTGCACCCCCACTGCTTAGAAGGGATGCCAACCTCTTGGAAAGAGTCCAAAGACGGGCAACAAAAGGAGTGGTTGGTCTCCGAAACAAACCATATGATGAAAGGCTAAAGAAACTAGGCCTATTCACACTTAGCTACCGTTGGCTTAGGGGATTTAATTACTGCCTACAAGATAACAAATGACCAGAATCACCCAAACAAAGGTTTTCTGCCATTGAGTAGGTATAGGCTTCCTCGTGGAAATCCTAGAAGGATAGTTCACCAGAGGGCAAGGAGCCGGGTGCGCTCCCAATTCTTTTCCCTGCGGGTTTGTCGTCCATGGAATTCCTTACCGGCAGATGTAGCTATGGCACCGTCTGTGGACGCCTTTAGGCAAAGGTTGGACAATCATGCAGTGACACAAGCACTGCATCCAAATGGCTTATCCGCTTAAAATCCCATACACCATTTGGGTGTATACAACTAAGTTCCTCGTTTTACTTCTTTACGTTCTCTCCAGTCTTTCTCTCGTGACAACATTAACTACATCTATTATTATCATTATTACCGATACTATATTATTCATATTACCATTCAAATTTAATCAGCTGACTGTTGTTACGTTTTCTCTATTTCTTTTTCTGTCTGTTAGTCTGAATAAATTCACTAATTATGTCTATTATTATCTCTTTTCTTTTGACGACGATTTCGTAGGACTAACTGGTGAAAGGATCAACTCCATTCACAGTATTAACAGTCTTAATGCACCTCATACTACAAACCACACATAATTAATCACAGCACTACTCCTTTTGGAGTCAACCAAAGCTACGACAGTCGAGTGGCGGGACAAGCTACGCAGGAGTTTACCGAAGATCAGGAACCTATACCTCACAATCAAGAGGCGAGCACAAAGAAATCAAATTGGTTTATACTAGCTCGTAAAAACGATATTGGATATTGGAAATAGGAGTAACTGCAAAGTCGCGCACAATTTGAATGTACTGTCAATTTCTGTGTTTTCTGTGTTATGAATCCCATCATTTTAGCGTGTCTCCTTACCTTCAGTAGTTGTTGGATACACGTGGTCAAGGGAGGAAAACCAGGAGACGCGGACAAGATCTTATATTTACCAGGACTTGATCTACCACAAAATTTCACACAATATTCAGGATACCTTAATGGTGTTACTGACAAAATCCAAATTCATTATTGGCTTGTTGAAGCTGCGACGAAACCAGAGTCTGCACCTCTGATATTATGGTTGAACGGTGGCCCTGGGTGCTCATCATTAGAAGGCCTACTTTCTGAAAATGGTCCATATATGGTAAGTTATATTGGGATAATTATTCAATAGGGAATGCTTTTGACCATAACTGTGCTACATATGTAATGAACACGTATGGTCTAAGCAGAGTTCACATGATGTTTTGCTATGTGTTTTAGTTAACTGGATAAACGGCCGGCCGACTCCTCGTAATCTTTAGCTTATTTTTGTACTACATAGAACTGTCATTAGATGTAAACTGTTTAACCCGACTACTCTACTGATCATTCATTGTTATTAAAGGGGAGCTGTGTACTGAAAACTAGCGACAGTGTGTTATCCTTTGATACCAATCTATTGCTGTTGTAATTATTAATTTCTCTACGTGTTTCATTTGCTTTGTCCACTTGTCTACTGACTGCAACGATCATAAAGTAGTCTACCATATTTGGAGGTTGTCAGTAAAAGAAGGTCCGGTAGGCAGTGAGACTCAACTTATCCCTTAGAAAAGTTAGAATTCTTATAATAGCTGCTAATTATGTCATGTTAAGTAGTAATAGCTAGATTTTCTTGTTATGTGAAAGCGCACATCATTAACTCTAAATGTAAGTGGAAAATTGCTTACATTATTAAAACATTAATGTTCTATAGTGTCCAATGTCTCCAATCTCAGAATCTTCTGGCGTTTTGCTTACTATGCTGTGTCGGATCTAATAAAGTGTGAAATGGGTTAAATGACAACTTCTCTGGTAAATTTTTATTAGTATTATTGGTTGTAAGGGCTAGATTTCACCCCAATAACAATCGATTTGTTTCCTTGGCTTTTATTTCAGCTTACAAAGGGACGTAGTCTTCTAAATAATAATCCATACTCTTGGAATAAAGTAAGCTAAATATTATTTCCTTGGTGACTTTTGTTTCATTTATATGGTACTGAGTTTTAACAACTTATGTATCATTGTGTTACGTATATTTCATTTTGTGATGTAGTTGAATTGACCTTACGGCTGCACTCCTGGTCTTGTAGATGTTGGCTAGAATATCTGTGATATTCAGGAGGAACTATCAGTAGTCTTAATTATGCACTTTTTCACACGAAACATTTATGTTAGTAGCAAATGTGTGATAAAAGTAAGATGGTCTTAAAACAATATTACTGGTTTCTGAATATATGGACACTGCGTTTTCGAATGCATCTTTAAGTCTTCTAAGTTTTGAAGAAATAATTCATTCTTAATCCGAAAAAGGTGGGCTCTCCGCACACACACATACATGGTAGGTGGGACTCGGCTTAATCGGAAGTCTAAACCAATGGCCCACAGCACCATTTCATAACTATGTAGTGGTGCTGCAACTTGTATTGTGATGACAGCACTCCTCACTGTTGCACAATAGTTCAACATAAAATTCTGAGGATTATTAAAAGCAATCAACCCCAGATGTGTCTGCTTTACGAAATATGTTACACACTGGGGGAGAAGTACTTTGTTGGTGGAAGCTCAAACTGAAATGAAATTACAGCAAGCTCCAACTTGGTCTGTTTATCAAAAAATCCATTTCTAAGTGTTCAGTACATGCACAGACCAGGTGTACTTCAAGGAAAGTAGACCCAAACAAACAGCTTAAAACAAGTAGGTTTCAATCTTCCCAATAGTGAAAAATTTATGTGATATCACTAACGAATTAATTGCTTATATTCATTAGAAATAATGCTGACTGTTAAAAGCTAACTACTAAGGTATCTCAGATTGCCATTTTAGTACCGCTGGATGATAATGTATTTCACTCCAAAACAACTTTTACGGACTTAAAGATTTAATCCCAGAGATGGTTCAACATTTACGATCGTATATCTTACATAGCTCATTGAGCTTCTGCAGACTTTCAGAAGTTCAAGCTGCAAGGCGTAAAGTTTATCAAAGGAAAAGAATTTCAAAAGAACTTTAATGAGCAGAAATGTGCTAGAGGAAGAATAGTAACATGGAAAACTATAAAGACATAGTGGATATGGGAGATTAATAACAGCAAATGCATCTGAGAAGGGTCATGATCCATATCATCAACAGTCTCAAGCAACTGGTTCTTACCGTTGCATGAACTCCAACCAGGTAGTCTATACCTCGTCAGGCAGCTCAAACCGATTGTCAAAGACTGAATGGACTGGTGTCAATTTTCGGTTTGATCACTCGTAATCTTTTCCAACCTAATCCAATGTCGACTAACATTCGCTGACGAAGGGGTGGGGCAGTGGCTTTGAGTATGCAGCACGCGTCCTAGCGACTTCAATCGATGCAGCTTCACAACTTAACCTCAATAATACTCGCCGTATTAAACCACTTGACACGGTAGGTGGGACACAGACAACTGTCGTCAAATAATGAAGCAATGGATGCTGTTTTGAATATTCGTGACAAGTGCAGCTACTCGTTTTCATTCTCCTTGTTATTTTTCTCTTGCGTAGTGCATCGTTTAAAGCTCCTATTGTGTGATGTTTGTCTTTAGAATATGTAAACGAATAAATTTTTATCTGAAGTTTATGAGTTAGTCCTTTAATAATTCTCGTAATTTTAATGTAGAGAAGTTATCCCACTTCCTACACAATGCATTCTCTATATGTTTTGAACGGTTTCGCTTGGATTAGTTAACATACTAAGTATTTCTTTGTGATTCTCCATTTTGGAGAAATGCAGGATCTTATCCTTGACCATCTTATTTCAAACTGTCTGCTTCACAATTTATTACTTTTCAGCTTGCTAACGTGCTTTACTTGGAGTCTCCAGCTGGTGTAGGATTCTCTTATTCTCTTGATGGTAATGTTACCACTGATGATGATCAGGTGAGTAAAGTTTTCGAGGTCTACCATTGTCTACTACTCCGGTGACATTGTGTATTATTAGTGTTTATTCTAAAGTGATCAGTTAACTAGCCTGGCTGTTTTTGTAAGTTATATAATAATAATAATGGCTTTATTCCAAACAGTATTTGTGGTACAGGTATGGAATTTTCAGCGTTCATTACAATATTGCATCTAATTACCTCATAAATTTTATAAGGATTTAGAAATATAAAGCAACAACAACAAAAAGAAAAAGAGAAATAAAAGAAAAAAAAGAACAGCATTGCATTCACATATTTAAACAATGCACCACAGGATATGATATATAAAATTAGTCTGTAATAGAATATATGAGCAACAATATAATAGTAACAAAGAAAGGAGAACAAAAGCTAAATGGGAACTATTTGTTAGAGTGCCGCAGTAAATTGATCATGTCATGCCTAACAGTTTTCTCATCACATAACAGCTGTGCCAGATAAGGTATTGTGGAGTATTGTATATATATTTATATATATATTTAGACAACTGCTAAACGTAATTGACTCATCTCGCTGCATAACTCATGTTCCCAGAATGTCAATAATACAGAATGCGAACTTTATCAGTGTTGTACTTGGAAGTATTACGTGACCACACTGGGCACTGCAGCCTATATCTCTACGTGCATGTGGTCGAGTTCCCTTGGTACACTGTGAGCACCAAGGGATGTGCCACAGTAAATGGACTAATAATTCTTACGACGCCTGGGATACTACCTGAATGTCTAAACCGAAGCATGTGGTTGTCTTGGGGTACCTCCCCCACTGACCTTTCAAATGAAGTCTGATCCACAAGACAAGTGGTGGGGGCTGCGTCCTCATGTGCTGCTTTGTTTCTTCCTCTCGCTTACGCCAGTAAATATGACAGCTCCCACTTTTCTAACACCTTCAAACACTGTTCAGCTTTACCTTTGCTACCGACATGCCAATGTGTTGTTGTAATAATGAACTGAGATTTCCTTAATCTATGTAGAATTCTATTTATTGATAATGTACTAACTGGATGCAATACTGTAGTAAAAATGCTGAGAATTCCATTCTATATCACATGTACTGTTTTGGAATAAAGCAAATTATTATTATTATGGCTTCCGGTGGACAAGACAGGTTCATACTCCACTCAATCCTTTCGGATTCTGGGATCCATGTACACCATAGGTTTGGAATCAGGGGTTTCCAGCTTCCTTAGACTGATCTACATGTGCACCAATCTGATTGTAGGTACCAGATGTTTGTATACGCCCTTTTCACTTTCGTGAGGGACACCATTAAGGAGTGAAGGCAGCGAACAAGACTTATCTGGCAGAGGCCAAAACGTTCGAAGAGTTTTTGGTTTATGTCACGTGGATTATTTTTCATAATTTGAAATTACATCCATTTTTTCTTTTCCTTCTCCTCTTCCTCTTTGTATTTTTTTCTCCACTTGTAATAGACGGCATTAAATAATCATCATGCCCTACTTCATTTCTTAGACAAGTTTCCAGAATACGAAGGTCGTAAACTGTATGTCACTGGTGAGAGTTATGGTGGTGTTTATGTGCCTACACTGGCATTACTGCTTAAAGATTCACCGAGATTTAAACTCGCGGTAAGTTTTTGTTATTTCTTCAGAGTTCTGGCTTTCTTTGAACTTTTAAATCCCTTTCACATGAATCTATGTACTACCGATTGGTTCATATGAGTAGTTAGATGTCACTCACTCACTCACTCACTCACTCAACCAGTAATGCTTGTTAACCAACAAGATCGAAGTGATCTGAAGACCGAACAGCCACTTGGCTCATTTGGGGCCACACTCATCAGTGAGCCGAATCAGTTCACGCCGGTCAAACTCTAGCTAACTACTTTGGTGAACTAGTAACACATTGAATCGAATATGTAACTTGGAAATTGCGCAGTCGCTGTGAAATTTTAGCACAGTCTCCTTCGGATGTGAGTGTTACCAAACTACTTATTTCACATCAATGAGTAGTGCATTTCGTGATGCATTTGTGCTTACTGCTTTCTTGATTCGCATTTATTCTACCAAACAGATGGAATATTTTGTGATTTTGTGGTTTTGGTCTCCAAAGGGTACCATGGAGAAAATTTCACCGTGAACTGTGTAATTTGTGAATTTTATAGAAATTCTTTAGTCTGGTTCAGTTTTGTCGTGAGTATTATTTCTGCCTGTATTCTGGACTGAAATAACTAATTACCTCCCTCAGAGATGTGTAGCTACTTCCTTGTATTCTTGAAGATATGTACACACTATAGGGAAATATTAATGCACTGGGCTAACGACTTGTGATCGAAAAGAGATATACATCTTCAATTTGTATTATTATTATTTCTGTTGCTGTTATGTAGACGTATTTAAGTAGGGATATGTGGTCCATCGGTTTGATTGCCTGGCTTTTAGCCAGTGAGTCCTCAGGTTCAAATCTCACTCCACCTACTTCAGCTCTCGAAGTAAGTGGATAGTAAGTATTATGAATCTCCTCACACACAATAGGTAGTGTGTGGCTCGTAGCCCGTGGAACCTAAAACATCCCTCCCAGCCAACTGAATTCAAACAGCCATTTTTCACAGTGGATACAGTAGTGAGTATAAAATTCAAGTCATCAGAAACAACAAATGGTTATTTAAAAGATATGCGGCTACAGACATCGGCGGTAGAATCAATTTTCTCTTACTTGTGTGGCGAAGGTGAATATTCTCAGACCTTTGATACTTCATCCTGATAGTGGACCGTTTGCGATTAAACCCTCAAAAGTTTATTCTTTTTCACGTTCAAGATTAGCTTAACTTAATGTTATCTGAATAAGAAGAATAAGAGATATATTTCATGAAGGATTAGTAGTAAAGTTGGAGTTTTACTGAATAAATTTTCGGTGATTGTAAGTTATCCACTCCAAATTGCGATTGTGTAACACGCTTGATTCGTCAGTCTTTCCTAAGGGAATAAGCTACATCTTCAATCCATCAACCTAAGCACTACACTTTCAGTCGAAGAAGTTTGGATATCGCCCCACCACTAACTTCAGCGTCGACGGTGGAGAAGGCGAGACGGGCAACACTTCATAGTGTCAGTAGTAACAACCTTCTTTCAAATTATCATTTGTCAGTAGATAGATAGATTGACGAATCATGTGTGTATTACATACATTATTGCGATTCAGAGTGTATAAGCTATAATGACTGAAAATATACCCACTAAAACGTCAACTTTATGACTACCAATCCTTCATGAAATTAATTTTTCTTTTTATCCACATTACAATAAGTTCAACTAGTTGTGCACACTAAAACGAAAGTACCTTTCGGTTTTTAATCGTGCACAGTCCAACATAAGGATGAAGTACCAAAGCTTCGAGAATAATCACCTTTGCCACACAAGTGAGACGAGATTCATTCTACTGTCGATATCTCTAGCCACATATCCCTTGGATTTTATAACCATTGCTTTATCCACTTTGGAATATGGTTGTTTGAGAGAGAGAGATGTTTTATGTACCATGGGCTATGATGCAGACTGCTTATTGTATATGAGGAATATTGATTCTCCCCTTGTGCAGAACTGCTTCAAAACATGATATTATAGAGGTAAAAATATGGATAATCAACTGGTTTAAGGAACTTAGCTGCCATGTATTACGTATTGAATTCAAACTCCGCACACCAAACTTCATTAGGTCTTGAAAACTGGGAACTGTTCACATAAGCTGGATATCAAACATCAAGTGTAACTCACTGTACAAAATTGTGTACCAAGTAGCCCCTGTCTTATCCTAATAGCACCAATCGATTGGATTACTTCAGAAAATATTGATATTATATCATCTACCATAGACGTTGTATTCGACACATCAGTTCTCTGTGTCCTTCGTAGGTGTAAAATATGGCCGTTGAAAGTGGAAGACTTAAAGAAACTACCTACTATTAACCACAAATGTTTACTTTCTATCTCCCGTGTTAAGTGGAATGGTGAGCAATCTCTCTCTGGTTTGGATTCAACATAGAACTTGGCACCGAAGTGCAGCAGTTCCAGTTGCCACGTTCCTAATAGCACACAAAGGTACACACAAGAAGATAAGTGAAGAGAATCAATAGAGTTTTGACAAGTATAAGAGTGAAACAGAGTGAGTAATGGTAGAAAGGAATATGAAAGATTACAGAGACTGAGTACATCTGCGTAAGCCATTGACAACGATTTTGAGCCATGTCACCACCTATTGTCTCCAGACATTGATTCTTAGAGTCTCGAGGGCGAGCCCCAACCCGGAAGTCTGCATCTCCCTACTTGACTCAGTTTAACTGTCAAGGATTTCATGGATTGATGAGGCCATGTTTTTGTTTGGCCACCACTTACTCTTTTCCAACCTGCACCTATCTATATGAGCTAGTAATGCCCGTCGGGAGAGGCGATGGTTAGGCATGCGCAGCACGTGACCTAGCCACCTCAATCTATATAACTTTATAGCCTCTTCGATTGATTTCAACTCTTTGTCCAACACTCTACGCCTAACGTCAACATTACTTACCTCATTATACCACCTAACGTGAGAAAGAGATTGTAGACATCCATGATCAAAAACAGTCAACCTTTTCATGTCTTCAACTCGTATTGGCCATGTTTCAGAGCCATAGAGAAGGACGGAGCGAACTGATGAGCAGTACACACGTCCCTTGGTTGATAGCCGGATGTCACGCCTACGCCAGAGATGGTGTAAGTTAGCGAAAGCAGCTCGAGCTTTTTGGATCCGTGGTGAGATTTCGTCGCCAATCAATCCGTTGGTGTTGATACAACTTCTCAAATAGGTGAAGTGGTCAACATGTTCTATCACTAAGCTAGGAGTCGACGTAGTCCAATCCTGTAGCGAAATGGTGAGCAATATTGAGGTTAGGTAAGGAGGGTAAGTTAATAATCGATGAGATTGTTAAGCTATGTCAATGGAGATGGTTAGTGCTTGTACTGTACATGCCAAGCCATCGTTTTCTTCGTCGAGCAATGTTATCTGACATAAGGTCGGGTTGGAAAAGAGTTAAGAGAGGTTGGAGACCTCATATCAGTCCATAAAATCTCGGACTGTTTGTTCTAGCCATGTATAAAAGTGTTCACTGTCAGGTTTCGATGATTCTCGAAACTATGAGAAGATTGTTTTCATTAGTGGAGATGTATTCACT